TAGTTATTACCAAGGCTCAGTGGAAGAATTGAGGGGTAACAATTTTCAAAAAGCCAAACTGATCAGACAACACAACACACTAAGGGGATCTTAACGGGCAGAGAGGTTCTGAAGCATCCGTTATATTCTAATTGCTTCTGTGAGAACATCCAGTTTGGATCTACAAAATAAGCCTTCTTATAAGTATAGTTTACCAAGGACTCATATCATTCTGCTGATGACTTCTCTCTCTAGAAGTACAGCCAATTTCATAAACATTTAAAAATGTTAAATTTCATATGTTGCCTTGATTCATAATCTGGTTACTAAGAAATATGGAGACAGAATTTTCTTTTCTAAGTTCGAAGAAAAGGAAGTGAGAGGTCATCCTTACTGAATAGTGATAGGCCTGAACAGTTATTACAGTAATACCACCTACTATCTGTGTAATGAGAGCCCATAACCAGTTCCCCATCTCAAGTCACTCCTTTCAAAGCTACCTCCTTATTGTTTGTTAAAGGTAATCTTTTCTGACCACGCTTAAAAACCAGTGGTATCCTAATCCACAGAATAAAATTCAAGCTCCTTAACCTGGCATACAAGATTATTCATGGGTTTAGCCCTACATAGCCAGGTTTGCTGATCCCTTTCTCACACCTTATTCCAGTAAGACCAAACTTCTTGATAGTTCCATGAATATACCCAGTTGTTTCCTACCTCTGAGCTTTCATGCTTTTTGATCCTTTCTAGAGAATACTACCCCCCTCCAACCCCTTGTCAACTCTGTTCATCTTTCTACTCATTCATCAAATGATTATTGAAAAAATACTGTATGCCAGGCTATATGTTAGACTCTGAGAATACTACAGTGAATAAGATCTTGTACTGCCCTGGGGTGCCTAGGTGGCTCAGTCAGTTAAGCTTCTGACTCTTGATTTCGGCTCAGGTCATGATCTCAGGGTCCTGGGATCAAGCCCCAAGCTGGGCTCCAGCTCAGCGAGGAGTCTGCTTGAGATTCTCTCTCTCCCTCTGCCCCTCCTCCCATTCTCTCTCTCTCGCTCACTCTAAAACAAATAAGTAAATCTTAAGAAAAAAAAAGATCTTGTACTGCCCTCACTGAGACAAGAAATTACAAACCTTACCCTCTGTGAAGTCCTCCCCAGGCTGCATCCCCATAGTGGACCCTTGTCTTCCGCTTTCCTTGTTCAAAGTATGTGTAGTCCTCATCACGGTGCCCTGTAATTATCAGCCTCCCTGACTACACTGGGAGCTCATTAAGACAGGGATGTCATTTTTTTGTAATATCTGGCTTATTGTACATGCGTTATAAACATTTGTAGGGAAGAAAGGAACGGGGAAAGGGGAGAAAGGCAGGACACACATTTAAACCATGGAAATTTCATGTTTTAATGTATCTGCCCTTGGTGAAATGGCCTACATTCTTGGCTGTCTCCCCCAAGCCCTGATTTCTGGCCTTTTCTGCTCTCTTTTTAATTTCTTCTCTCCCTCCCTCTCTTAATTCCACCTGGGATCACTCAACATCCTGTTCATGACTGGCTTTGTGTCTTATATGCCATGGGAAATTTCAGGGGGGATTTAGGGCTTCAGAAATGAGGTGCCTCCATTTGGGACAACAAACTCTATGTATGAAAGAAGCACCTAGTGGTGCTCTCTGGTATCGTTACAAAGCTGTGCCCTGGTTGGTCCGGGACCCTACCTGGTTGCTGAGACCATGTTCCAAATAGGTCTCAACATCTGAAACCTCATACAGTGTCTTGAGCCCACCAGACCTCCCTAAATGTCTGATGCAGATGCTGAGGATGAGGCAAAAATACAATATTGCTTCCAGGGAAGCTCAGTAACTCCTGTATACAGTGCCAAATAGCCCAGCACACAGACAGCATCACATAAAGGGGAAAAAATGTAGAAAGGAGCTATTTTCAGTTTAGCTTGGAGGTAAATTATAATTTTAATAAATAAAATTTTTATTTTGTACTTTAGCAATATTTTGTTTGGACTATAAATTGGTGTGGGGTGCACAGTAAGAATTTCAGGGCTTAAGGACTTTAAAGCTATGGTTCTCAAAATGTGGTCTGGACCTGAAACATCAGCACTGCTTGGGAACTTGTTAGACATACAAATTGTTGGCCACGCAGCAGACCTGCATTTTCTTTCTTTCTTTTTTTTTTAAAGATTTTATTTATTTATTTGAGAGAGAGAGAATAAGAGAGAGAGAGCACATGAGAGGGGGGAGGGTCAGAGGGAGAAGCAGACTCCCTGCTCGGCAGGGAGCCCGATGCGGGACTCGATCCCGGGACTCCAGGATCATGACCTGAGCCGAAGGCAGTCGCTTAACCAGCTGAGCCACCCAGGCGCCCAAGACCTGCATTTTCATAAGCAGTGATTCTAAGTGATTCTGATGCATGTTCAAGTGGGAGAACCACTGATCTAAAGGCTTTAAAATGACCTTGATGTATACAGGAAACTAATATACTCAACTTGGAATTCAAAAGGGTCCCTTTGAATTCAGGATCTCTTGAAGCTACACAAATGCTAACTCATTCATTCTCTCTACTCCCTATTGATACAGGCAGGGAAAATATCACTACCCCTGTTTTAAGTAGAAATAAAACTAAATCTGGGGTTGGGTGGGGGTCAAACCACTGCACACAACGTTTTCAGGGTTGCAAAGTTAAAATTTGAGCGGTCTGAATAACCAGAAAGGACATTTGCACCTGTTGTTTTTCCTCTCTTGTTGAGGGTTCAGAGAAGCTTTTGAAAATATTTGTGGGAGATACTTAAACAGCTTAACCTGCTCCATAAGCAACTGGACATTTCCAAAATGCGTAGGCTGATGCTGAATATAAGTAAAGCCTCACTCAATCCACAGAGGTTTCATTTCTAAGTGACAAGGCTTATACTCTGACACATTTTAGTTTACATTGTCCCTCGGATCCTGTTAACGTTCTGACATATATTAATGCCACAGTGATTCCGGTATCTGTGAACCTCCCCCCAAAATGTAGTTAGAGCAAAACAGGTACTAGCCCCCTGAGTGGTCTCATCCCTATAACACTGCACAAGGAGATTTCTTCATGGCTTCTGTGTAATGCTGGAAGCCCAGAGTTCTGAAAGTAATGTTCTCATCTGGGATGAGGGTCCCACTGTGAGTACCTCCCCAGACAGGTATTTCAAAAGCATGAGCCCTGCCATCTCAGAGTCCTCTAGCCTGCCCCTTAGCTGCTCTCCTTACCTGAACACATCTTTGGCATGTAGCTTTCACCTTGTCCGTCTTCTAAATTGCTCACCACGAATCCATCTGCTTCCTAGCTTCTCAAATGAGCTAACAGCTCTCACCTGCAGCCATCTCTCCTGTTCCCTTTGTCCTGTAAGTTTATATAGCTTTGTCCCCTTTCTGTCACTTGAGGGGAGCCCCAGGCAGAGATAAATGCATTTTTTTATTCCATGTTTCTATTGCTCATTTTTATAAAAGCATACAGTCTAAAAGGGAATTTAGATATCATCTCTCCAATCCAGTGTTAGTTTCTTTTTTTGCAGTGGAATCTATCTTTTTCAAGACACAACCCAATTATAAGTCTAATTTATAAAACAGATAAAAGAGTGAGACTATTTTGGTTGAAGCTGGTAAAGGAGCAGGGTGTGCATCTCATTTCTCTTAAAAATATTTTAAAATATCTGTTAAGGGCCTCCTCTGCACTAGACACTGTGTCAGACTCTGGAGAAACACAGATGAGCTGTGTAGACATGGTTTCTGTTCTCTAGCTGCTCAGAGCCTTGTCTGCTCCTGGAGGTCCCCAAGGAACCCAGTCTGCACCTTACTGATCTAATCCAAGGTCTGGAGAAGAAAAGTGACTTGGCCAAAGGAAGGCCTTCCTGGTCTTCAAATCCATACTTGGGAGTTAAATGTACCCAGTAAGTGTTACTGATGTGCAGTGGAACAGATTGTAGGGCGATGATCAGGAGAAAAAACCCAGGAGCTATGTTTATGACCGAGGCTTCGTACACAGAGACGTGGAATAAGCTATGAAAAGGATATAAACTGTGCATAAAGCTCCTAATAAAATAGTGGTGAATGTTTGCACACCTGAGCACTTGATCTTTATTCCTGCCATTCCCTGTGAGGAGATTGCTTTTGGTCATGCAGTTAAAAACTTTAAAAACCTGAAGTCGAATTTCAAAGAAAAAATCTCAGCCTGTTTCACCCAGGACCTGTAGGTGTATCCTCTGTCCTTCTACCCATGTCAGGTGTGACAATTTATTGTCTACTGCTAGAATTTTCCACAGTTGGGCTTTTTCAGATTGAAGAAAAAGAAGGAGAAACTAAGAAATAGTAAAAGTACAGCCGTCCCATTTATTGAGACGGACAATGCTAAAGGAATTTCAGCTTTGTTTTTCAGACCAAATTGCTTCCAGTAACTGGCTGACCTTCAGAGTGACGGTCCTTGCAGCTTGACTGAATGCAATCTGTTTCTACAGGAAGAGTGAGATAGGAGATTCCTCTTCCGCGGAACGTGGAAAGCCTGCTATTATGCACTGCCAGGCCACCATTTAATCACAATGGACCACTGAATTCCAACCATTTCATCCTTGAAGACTGCCAGTCACTTACAGTAATAAACTTTGAGTTGCCTGGCCCTGGGCCAGACTTCCAACTTCTGTTGGCCTCAGTTTCCTCCTGTATAAAATGAAGAGGTTAGACTGAAATATCTGTAAGATTCCTTCCAAGTGGGGTGCCTGGGTGGCTCAGTCGGTTAAGCGTCTACCTTCAGCTCAGGTCATGATCCCAGGGTGCTGGGATCGAGTCCCACATTGGGCTCCCTGCTCTGCGGGGATGCACTTCTCCTTCTCTCTCTGCTGCTCCCCCTGCTTATGCTCCCTCTGTCAAATAAATAAATAAAATCTTTAAAAAAAAAAAAAGATTCCTTCCAAGCTTTCTACTCCTCAGATATTCCATTAGAATCAGCAGGTAGCACTACATTTTGGAATCTGAAGCAACTTACCTAGAGAGGTGCAACCCAGGACATTTTCCAAACACCCGACCAGTGCTTCAATATCACTGTCCTGTCAAAACAAGAGGGATTTACTTCCATGTATGACAGAGGAATATTTATTGACATAAAAAGTGTTCTTGCCACATTCAGGCAAAACAAAACAAAAAAATCTGGTGGCAAAATTATTTGACAGTACAATCCTACTAAGAATTTTTTTGCAATTGAAGTATAATTAACATACAGTGTTATATTTGTCTCAGGTGTACTATATAATGATTCAACATTTCCATACATGACTCAGTGCTCATCAAGATAAGTGTAATCTTAATCCCCATCACCTATTTCATCCACCCCCCCACCCACCTCCCCTCTGACAACCACCAGTATGTTTTCTGTATTTAAGAGCAGTTTTTTGTCTCTTTTTTTTTGTTTGCTTGTTTGTTTTGTTTCTTAAATTCCACATGAGTGAAATCATGTGGTATTTGTCTTTTTCTGACTTTATCTTTTTCTCAGTTAGCATAATATTCTCTAGGGCCATCCATGTTGTTGCAAATGGCAAGATTTCCTTCTTTTTGATGGCTGAATAATATTCTATTATTATATATAAATATTCTATTTTTTATATATATATATACACACACCATATCTTCTTTATCCATCTATCTGTTGATGGACATTTGGGCTGCTTCCATATCTTGGCTGTTGTAAGCAATGCTGCAATAAACATAAGGGTGCATCTATCTTTTCAATGTTTTTGTTTTCTTTGGGTAAATACCCAGTAGTGGAATTACTGAATCTTATGGTAATTCTATTTTTAATTTTTTGAGGAACCTCCATACTGTTTTCACAGTGGTTGCACCAATTTGCATTCCCACCAGCAGTGCATGAGGATTCCTTTTTTTCCACATCCTCACCAATATTTGTTATTTCCTGTGTTTTTTATTTGAGCTGTTCTGACAGGTATAAAGTAATATCTCATTGTGGTTTTGATTTGCATTTCTCTGGCAATGAGTGATGTTGAGCATCTTTTCACATTGGCCATTGTATGTCTCTTTTGGAAAACTGTCTCTCCAATCCTCTGCCCATTTTTTAATTGGATTGTTTGTTTTTTTGGGTATTGAGTTGTATAATTTCTTTATATATTTTGGATAGTAACCCCTTCTCAGATATATCTGCAAAGATCTTCTCCTGTTCAGTAGACTGCCTTTTTGTTCTGTTGGTGGTTTCTTTCACTGTGCAAGAGCTTTTTATCCTGGTGTAGTATGATCCAATTTTTAAGAGAAAAATACCTACATCTATATGTATAGCTAGCTATACCCCACTCTTCCCATCCCTATCAATCTATAGATCTATTCCTCTATTGCTCTAATGGGAAGAACATACACTGAAAATGTTAATAGTGGTTTTGACTATAAGGTAAGATTATGGATGATCTTTATCTTCTCCTTTGTGTACTTATGTCTTTTCTAAATTTTCTATAATAAACAAATATTACTTATTTAATTTACAAAATAGTAAATGCTACTTAGAATGAGGAAAAGGGTTTTATTCAATCTATAATCTATTCAATATATCAAAAATCAAATGAATATTTTTTTCCTAGGGAGTGTCTCTACCAGTTCTTCTTTGGAAATGTATGGTCTTCAAGGGGTCATAAATCTAAGAATTGCACTTTTTATTTACCTTAACCCTCAATAAGAGTCAGATACCCTCATGAGAGCTGGGGGGATCCCAGAACTATATTTGGCAACAAATATTGTCTTTATTACAAAATAAATATCTGTCCTCTATCCAGGAGGCTGGAAATATCCACAGGAGCATCATAATGATCTGAGAAAATGGAACCACTTAATTATTTTCAGGTTTGTGGGTACACTGAAGGAAATCAATAATTTGTGGCTCACCTGCTCCATTTCAAAACAAGCAACACATTTCATACTGAAGTAATTGTGAATTTTAGAAAAATGCACTGTGGTATAATAACATTACATAAATGTGTTGTTTCATAATATAACATCTGGTAGGGTTTGGGCAGCCACTTTTTATGCATGTGGTGAAACCCAGCATCATTTCATGTTCCGATGTATAGAAGAGGCAATGATGAAGAAGGTATGTCTGGTCAATGCTGGTCAATGAGGCCAAAGCACTAACTAAAGACCCTGGTGTCCAGCCCAGAAATAGGGAGGGAGGGAGATTCATAAGAGGAAAAAACAGATCCCTTCCTTCTTTTACACCCTTGTAGTCTCCAAACTTAGCAGGGACAGCCTTAATTCAAAGAGGAACCCAGCAGAGACAACCTCTGTTGGAGGAAAAGCAAAGCACACATTGCCATACACAGCTGACGACACCAACCTGGCAAGCCCCGCTTGTGCCTCCACTAAGTGTGCTGGCCTGGTCCAAGTGGCTTGATTTCTTAGGTCTTAATTTCTGCATCTGTGAAACTAGGGGGTTGTATTGGCTGATGGTTAAGGGGCCTTCCAGCTCTAAAACCCAGCTCATCCAGCAAAGAATTAGATGGACAGTGACTGTGTGGATTGTTTTCCAATATGGCTACAACAATCCTTCCCATCCCTTTGTTCCTATGCCATTCCTCACATCAAAAGTTAGACTCTCTTTCCCCAACCCATAAGCTGGCCCTGTGACTTGCTCTGGGCCTCAGAATGTGGCAGAAGGGATGTTCTGTGACTTTTATTACTAGGCCTTAAGAGACCACGTAGCTTCCATTTTTATTATCTTGGAAGCCAACAACCATGTGAAGAAGTCCAGGCTCTCCTACTGGAGAGATACCATGGTGAGACGCCCTGCAGCATGAGAGGCCATGTGGAGAGAAACAGAGGCCCCCAACCAACAGCCAACATCAATTGTCAGACATATGCGTGAGGCCATCTTGGACCGCCCCCCAAGCCAAGCTCCCAGCTAAATGTAGCCACATGAGTGACTTTAAACAATATCACATGGAACAGAAGAACTGTCTAGTGGGTCCAGGCAACCTACCTAGAGAATCATGAGAGACAATAAATCACTGTTTTAAGCCATTAAGTTTTGGAGCATTTTGTTACTCAGTAAAAGATAACTGAGACCCTAAATAAACAGAGTTCATTGACCAAGTGTTTCACATATTTATGTCTCTAGCACCTAGCATGGCCCTGGGAGCATGACAAATGCTAAATGCTCACCTGTGCAGGTCTCTTCCAGCCTCAGTGATTTGCAAGGAAGTAAAACAGAAGAATGGCATTGACTCTTTAGATCATAGTCTAACCCTAGTTGGACAGCAGGGTTCTCTCCACTCAAAGTACATCCTTACTGGGAAAGTAGAGGAAAAAGCATACTACTTCTTAATTCTGTGGCCTCAGTCAAGTTGGTTAACCTCTCCAAATGTCATTTTCCTTCATTGTAAAATGAGAATAATGTCCTCTATCTCACACTGGGCTCTTATGAAAAACATGAAATAATAAAAAGCCTTTAGTAGAGGGTATGGCTTGTTGGAAATACCCAATGGGTGGAAGAAGAGAGTTGTAGAGAACAGGATGGGATGGGAAAAGAACAGAGACATAAAAGATTAAAAAGTCCCAATCACTGCCTGCCACAGAACATGGAAATTCGCAATAAGTATTTGAGTTGAGTCAAAGAAACAGAAATGGCAAGAGACAGTCACGCTGTAGGAGTGCATCTGGATGGCTGGGACATATCAGTTATATCTTCCTAACATAGAGGACAGGGAACCCTTGCGGGGAGGGCAGAAATAATTCTAATATAACTGAATGAATGAATACTAACTTTTACTGAAGTCTTAATATGTGCCATTGTTCCACCAGCTTACATGTATTAATTCATTTAAACTCAACTAAGTGGTGCTATTTTTCTCCCCATTTAACCGTTGAGAAAACTGAGGCACGGATAGGCTCCATAATGTGACTACGTTCATGCAACTAGTAAGAGGTGGAACAGGTGGTGTTCTCCAGAGCTTGAATTCTTCTTAGTCACTACAGTATACAAAAGTAGTAGAAGGCAGGGCTCCAAACCCAAACAAAGCTTCACAATATTACTGGAGGAACCAGGATGCAAACTCATGAAAAAAACTAAAAAATAATTCTTTGCTGAGATATATATATATATATATATATATATATGCAATATAATGCAGCCTGGGGACAAAATGCAGGTACAGAGGGGCTGGGTGTGGAGGGGTGGGTTCTTCATCAATGGCTTCCAACTCCAGGTTCTAAGAGAACTTGAAGCAAAACATCAGTTCTCTGTCTAAATACAGCCTCAACAAGAAGGTTGTGCATTCCCTTGGTGGAGTAAGCAAACACAGTCATGGGCCATGAGCTCTGCCAATTTCCCTTCTCGCCTTGAAGACTGGGGCCCCAGAGATCATGGACAGTGACTGAGCTCAACTTACATTCCCAACAAAGGACAAGTCACTTTCTGTCTCTTGATGAAGATTAATTAGGGCATTAAGACCCAAACTCCAACTGTACCCACTGAACACTTTTTAAAATTTTGAAATAACATCAGACTTACAGGAAAGTTACAGAAGCAGTACAAAATTCCCATATACCCTTCACCTTGATGTCAGTGTGCCATGTTCACATGCTCATTCCCCCATCTATTTATACACACCAAGGTTTCTCTACCTTGGTGCCATTGACGTTTTGGGCCAGATAATTCTGAGTATGTTACAGGATGCTTAGCAGCATTCTTGGCTTCAACCCACTAGACGCCAATAAAACACTCCCAACATCCCTCCATGGATTTCCACATCCAACCCTGGGATGTGGAAATCAAACATGTCATCAGGCATGGCCAAATGTCTCCCGAGGGGTAAAATCTCCCCTGATTATCTACATATAGCTCTATCTCCCCATATGTATTTTTTTCTCCTGGTTAAATCTGGAACAACTTGGTGATCAAAATAAATGACATTAATGGATTAACAAGCCACAGAATTAGATAAGATGCCAACTGTACTTTTTTAACATTTAAATGAAACTTTCTGTATTTTGAAAAAGAGACAACTCATTACAAAGATCAGGTTCTCCTTTTTTTTTTTTTTTACATCAAATAATT